AAAGTCAACAGCAAAATCAAAATACATATAGGAGTTATGTTAACAAAGGCTTCTAATTGTTGCACCTCTTTTGTTAAAATGTTTAGGAAACTGTTTGAAAAATATCACTCGTCACCGACTTGAACTTCAATATCAGGATACATGTATTCATCATCCTTGCAAGAATGGAAGTAGTCATCACACAAAGAGGTTGCATGGGACAAATAGTTCCCCGAATAGTGTCCTTGACATGCTTATATACAAGAGAGGGTGTTACACAGTCACAAGATGCAGAATACCGGTTCAAAGCAGTATACAATGTTTGGTTCAGATTAGCTAAGACCTGCGTAAGCAATAAACATGACAGTCATATGTCTGTCTCCATAGAGGTTGAATCATCATGTTAATCACATAGCTATCATATGCCTAAAACAGTGTGTCCTGACGCTCTTCTAGGTAATCACACATCCAGTTACGTACACAGCTACGTAGGGCCTTTGTTATCATGTGCTACTCTGATATTAGAAGAGTACATTCAGTATTTTCCCAACAGAGACTAAATATTTTTGAAGTTTCTTAGGTGTCAATTGTGTTAGCCCTCTCAAATTGTCATCAGCTCCGCCTCAGAGCTTCCCTGCCACTCCCCCCTCTTTATTTCCTGGTGCCAAAACACAATTCTAAACCGTCATGAATTGCCAACTCAAATACAGAATACTGTGTTTTAATGGGGCCTTGATGTGGGGTTGAGAAGTGTATTTTATAGATAGTCAGACTTTAGGGAATTCTGACATGAAGTTGAAATGTAAGAGAAATAATTCTAAGACCTGTCAAAAGGAATGATACACTTTTATATTTTTTATATCTTTTTAATTCTACATACAAATTCTGAAACATAACGAATGAAAGAATTAGCTCAATGCAATTAGCCGTTTGATATCTGCAGCTTCATTAAAAAAAAAAACTTGAATTTGTGACGGTAACCTGGCTGTAAGACATGTTCAGCAAAGCTGCCCTGGATATTTGAAGGTTAAAACCATCTTCCATCCTGACAGTGTTAAATGTTACAGATTAATACCCACACACACACACACACACACACACACACACACATCAGCCCTGTTAAAGATGCCACTCAGCCTTTATTGCTCCTGTAAAGCTCAATGCTCTGTAGGCTTATCTCTCTGCAGTCGCCTCTTGACGGTCGTTCAGGTAATGAATGTGTTGAATGAAGTGGCATCAGTCACAGCTAACAGGCTTGTTTGCCGTTATCTTAGCCACACAAACTAGCAGTTTTTTTGTTAAACCAATCATTGACACATATATGCGCAGAGGCTTTTGCCACCCACAATGTTATTGTAGTCAAATAAACCTAAATTATAGCCTAAGGCAGCTACCTCAGTGTTTTTCGAGCATTGGATTTAACGGTACTGCACATTGTGGTTGTAAATGCGTCTGTATATTACCTTGTGGTTTGTATATCTTCAAAAATGCGATTATCAGTGGCAGTAGAAGTATATTTTTCAAGGATTTATGAATTATCATTATAGTCAGTATAAAAATAATGATCTGTATATATATTTTTTTAATTTTTATTATATAAATTAAGGCAAAAATGTAGGCATGCATTCTTTGAGCAAGGCACTTGACTCCCACACTGCACCCCCTGACGCTGTATATAGCTGCTCATTACTCCTAATACTAGGATGGGTTAAATGCATAATTTGTCTGTGTACATGTGGAGCGATTAAACGGGGATTCCATTCAAAACTTCCATTTTCACTTCTGTTCAAAAAGGTTGTATGCGGAACTGTATCCTGTTGTGAAAAAACAAAGAGACCCTCATGTTCTGATGTACTGTAGTAAACCAGCCATTTGGTTTGTCATTATATTAACTCATCAACATGGAAGCCCTCTTAGTCAGTGACCTTGTTTACAACTCTTGATTGCGTGTTTGTATCCATGTAAATCAATTTTACTGGGTAATATTAGGATAAGTAATTTGTTGAGTCGAGCTTTGGTTGTAAACAATTAAGTATGTTTGTGTTGGCTGTGTTTCATTTGGTAATGTTTATTTGTTCTGTCTTGTACTCATTATTTGGGTGTGTTCATGTTTTCAAACAGGAGAGGGAGAGCAGCCCAGGGGAGGAGGGGGAGGAGGGGGTGGAGGGGGAGGAGGAGGCCTCAGCTTCCCATTTGCAGAAACTGAGGTCTACAGCGGCCAAGCTGTTCCAGCTGAACCACGCCATCAGTCAGCTGCATTCCTGTCTGTCTACCGCCCTGCGAGGTAATCTTCTGACACACACAGCCTGGATGTTAACCTCAAAACTCTTCCGCAGTGTAACTTTCACCGTAGAGCCACAGTATACATCGGTTGGTCAAAAGCACTAGAAGAAACGGTGTGTAACGAGCCAGAGCCAATTGTTCCTGCTTCTTTCTAAAATAATACATTCATATTGATTATTTTCTAAATGCTCAGTTGCACAATAATACAACAAAAAGGTGATTTCAGGACTTAAGAACGGAACATATGCAAAAACAGACAGACATATGGTTTGTCAGTGCATCAGTTTGTTGATGAACGGTTGTTGTGACGGGTGTGGGTTATTTTGGTGTTATAGAACAGTTTAGCCAGGGTCTCAGCCAATCAGGCATATGATCAAAGTGTCTTGAAAATACAGTGTATTCATTTTGTCATCAGAATTGCTATTCCTGTGTTTCTTTAAAATAAACCATTGAATTAGAATCCCGTTTTGGATACATGTTTTTCAAAGTGGCTAGCATGAACATATTGAACAGATTATTGTTGTAAGAGCTGTGTCTGACTGTCATCCTCCTTCCAGGAAATCACAAAGACTCCAACCTCAGCAGCAGAGAGCTGATCTCCTCCTCTGCCAAAGCTGTGGATGAGCTGATCACTGGTCTGTCCAAGGGGCAAGCATCGAATCCATCCCTGCAGCTTCCCTTCCTCCAGAGTGTCATGGCGGCACGAGATGAGCTCCACTCTGCCCTGCAGTCCCTCTCCTCCTCCTGGGACCAGCAGGAGCCAGGAGAGAGCAGAAACTCTTCTGCTTCAGACAAGAGCACAGAAGATGAACCCTGTAAAAACACTCACTCTGCTGTTAGAAATCGAGTTGTGAATAAGATAGTTTACTCTCTCCCTCCAGGTGTGTCACCAAAAGACAGCCTACACTGGGTGTGATGGGCGGTTTTTTAATTTATATAACACTTTATGTTTTAAGTGTTGCTCACATCATGTAGGATTTACTGTAAAATGAAATGCTGATTGAGAGAAATCTTCTAATGGTGACACCAAATAAGCTTTAGGTATTTTTTTTTTTTAAGCTTTGCCACCACCAACCTGGCATCACAGGCAATGAACACTGCAGATAATTACTTATTGTTGATATAAAAGTAGCTCAAATAAGTTATATCCAAATACAAGCAACTTGATTTTCCAAATGTAGCAATATTGGCAATTTTTGGAAGGCTGTTTTTAAATGTAAAAGAAAAAAAGTGTAAGAAAAAAATACTTCCTACAATGCCTCAAACTACAGCAATACTACACGGCATAGAGTGCTTAGAAACGTCAGCAATAATGATATGGCCTAAAAAATGTATAGGTTCATTACCAATAATGTGTAGCGTTAAACAGTAATTCAGGATGGAGATACACGACTAGGAACAGTAATTGGCTATAAGGATAATTTTCACTTGTACTGTACTATTTTTAGCTTTTTACTGTTTTTTTTCTCAGAGGCCAATAGGTAAAAACATTTCATTTCGTTTTGTAATAATTCAGAGATGTAAGATGTCAAAATGCAACGGTGTTTTGTAAAATATTAGACACATTTCCCTTTATGATTTCTGTCTTGTTTGAAGGCTTATTTGTATAAAGAGATGCTCTTATGTGTTTTATAACAGGCACTGCCACTATTTGCACTCAGGAGAGACTTGTATATCTGGTGTTTCTTTTTAAAACATGAACTTTAACAAGAAGTCTTTTGTATCACATGTTTAAAATATAAAATGTTAATGCTTCTGCAATAAAATGGTTTGATTTGACAAGGACCCTGTAGCGTAGGTTTTTCCTTTGTTGAAGGATTAAACAGTTCTTTGTTGCAGTTGAATCTATGCTCCTTCTCCCCAACAGCACACAGGTGTCCCTTATTGTGTTCATTGCCTTCCTCCAGCTCCTGTCAGTGGGGTGGCTAAGCTAAAGGGCTAGCCACCTCCTTTGAATCAGGGACAGGATATGTTCTAAAGGTTTGTTTTTATTTTCCCTTTTTCCTGCTATTCATATTTCATATCACTTTATGGTAAAGGCTGGACTCCTGGTAAAAAAACTGCCCTTATAGCATAACAAGGAGATTTCTTCTAACATGAATTGGCACTGGATAGCCGGTCAGTCTACATTTTGAGTAGGAAATGGTAGATGTGTTTTACCAAATACACATTCCTTAATTTGGCTTCCTTGTATTGAGTAAAATACTGTGATGCTATGATATAACTATGATAATAATGGCTTACAGGTGTACACCTACTTATTGACTTCCATAACACGTTTTGTCTTTGGAGTTCACTCCGAAGATATCTGTTGTGGATGGACAGTGAAACATGAAAGTTAACAGCAATGTCCTATACATTTATACTTAAAGTCGTAGTGTAATGTTTCTGTTGCAATTGTTTTTGCTTTATTAATGGTGGGGTAGTGTCTGGTTGTCACTGTCCTATTTTGGCATCTTTTCAGGAACTCCCACTCCTACTTTAGGCTGCAATCACTAAGTTGATGAATGGATTGGCATTAAACTGTATTAAGTCATTGTCCAAGCCTTCAGTTGCACCAGACCTCCTGGGACCCATTAAAGGGCCCATGGAGGTCCTTGAACCATATATTTGGCAACCCTCTGCTAGCTGCAGCCAGGCTACACCCACTCCTCTGTAGCTCCCTCTGCATCCTCCTCTCAGCAGTCCGCTACCGCCAGGGCTCCCTACTTTAGTGACGGACTGGTAGTAGACGCATACTTTACTTCTAAAGGAACTAAACAAAGACCGTTAGTGGTTGAATGCTGCGTTCACAGACACGACGCAATTGAAATGAAAAGACACAAAAAAGTGTTTTCCTAAGACGACTAATTAAGGTAAATATCGATTCGTTTAGCTTGTTATGCTTTATCAATATGAGAAAACTTAGGACTTTCAAATTGCTTAACATTAATATGTACGTTTTTTCAGGATGCACTGGTTATTGTTCCAAAATATAGGCCTGCTGGTGAGTACTTATTGTTTGTATTTACCAAGGTTTTCACTCCAGGATAGTTTTTTCTAAAGACGATTTGTTAGTTTGTTGTGCATTGCCTCATTTTATTAGTAAAAAAACTCTAGTTAAATGTGATTTTATATCCTTAAAACCTTCAGCAATGAGCTGAGCATAATGTACATTATTTTTCAGGTTTGTTTCCACAGCTTCATATCAGGTGAGTTACTTTCTATTTCTCATTTTATTTGAACACCAATTCACATTTAATGAATAGGCTACAGTAAACTGAACTTTAATACAAAGTTAAATTGATGGCAAGGTTACAGTTGAGACCAGTGGGATAATGTGTGAACATTTGATTGATTATTATAATGTCATAATTAGCAGTCACATTTAAAATTGTCCCTGGCACAAGTAAACACCCTCACCCTTATAAGGTAAACCTGTTTAACAGCTGGCATAATCTGATCAGCCAATTATGCTGCAACAAGTCAGTGTAATGTAGACATGGTAAAGATGATCTGCTGAAGTTCAAACCAATCATCGGAAAATGATGGATGAAGAGGATTGAAGTGACTTTAAATCAAGGATCAGGAGAAGTCAATGAGAACAGGACTCTACTTTTACTTGATCTATTATATCAGTAAACACTTCCCTAATGAGTTGAAGGAATCAATCAATATTCAAGTCTCCTTCAACATGGCATGATAATTGTAAAGTAAATGAAGGTCCTATTTAGAGAAAGACGTTTACTTTTGTAGATTTTCTTGAAATTTGATAACAATGTGCACCTGATTTTGATTGAGATTTGATTCAAGCTTGTACATTTTTATCATTTCAAACTTAATGATCTGAACAGGATTAAAAGGTATTTGGAATATCAATGTATTTTTAACCAATGCTCTCTTGGGGCTCTTTCCACCAGTTATTCTAATCTTCCTTTTGCTTCTTTGAACAGCCTTTACACTGGAAACTAGAAATCTTATATTCGATGCATACTATGAGTATGTGCCTGATCGCCTGAAATGGAAAGATGCAAAGGAACTGTGTAACCAGCGCTCTGGGGCCTTAGCCACTGTCTCCAGCTCAGTAGAGATACAAGAGCTCACCAACTTTTTATCATCCTTGAACATCTCTCATCCTGTGTGGATTGCCAGGAAAGTCAAGACACATCCAACAAGTAGGATCAGTGTGCTATTCGTGCCACTTTATAATAACATATGAGCACCCTTTGTATGTTGAATAGTAATCTTATTGTTTTTCTTGTCTAATACTTCTTTCCGCCTACTCACTGGCTTAACAAAAGTGTCATTAAATATGAAATTGTACTGACCTTCTGCTATACAACTCCCTCAGCCACAGTGAATTACTGTTACCAAGTGTTTACAGTAGGAATAGGACCATGCACAAAGTGGAAATGTATGATTAGTTTCTATCCTTTCCGAGAGCTGTTGTTCGATTTTTCCTTCACTAATGCTTCTTTCTTCTCTCTGTGTTGGGTGAAACCGAAGGTTCCTCTGAGACCCTGATCCTGGAGTTCAGTGGGCGCTCGGACAGCAAGCATGCCCGTCTCCTGCACAAGTTCCCCTCCATGGACTTAGTGACTGTTTGCACCCGTCTTTGCTTTGATCCAAATAGCTTTGGAATTTCCACAATTTTTTCTTATTCCATCCCGTCATATATAAATGAGTTCCAGCTCCGCGCTAACCTGATCCAGGGCGAGCCTGTGAAGCTGGCTCTGCTGGTTCATGGCATTCATGGACCATACCAAGAAGCCTTCAAGCACGATGACTCCTGGCACTCGGTGTGCGTTTCTTGGAGCCAGATTGGTGGTAGCTGGGCTATATTCATTGATGGCCGGGCGGACTTTAGTGGAAATGACCTAAATTCTGACAAGATTGGCCCTGATGGACTTTTCATTCTGGGACAGGAGCAGGACACCTTTGGAGGTTCATTTAAGAAGGATGAGTCATTCTCAGGGAGCATTACAGAGCTGCACATATGGAATCGGGTGCTGAGCAGCAGCGAAATCGACACTATGGAAAAACAGTGTTCACCCATTTCCTCTGGGCTGGTGTTCAAGTGGAATGGAGCAGCCATGGAAATAGCGACCTCCCTTACCAAGCTGCGGAGAGACGTCCCATGTCAAATCCCAGGTACATTTGTTAAGATGAAGCATGAGTAGAGGAATAAGCTGAAGGGTTTCCAGAGTCTAAATCTTATTTAATCACCAAGAACAAAGACAGTTTACACGATAACGACAGAAGAGACTTAAATCTAGCTGATAGGTCCAATGGGCTAGTCGAGCATTACTTTCAAATGTTGTTTACAGTTTAGATATTTTGGCAATGGGGCTGGGCGAGGTTGCTATGCAGGAATAACAATCACATAGAGACCATTTGAAAGTCATTTTGAACTACCGTACACACTTTGCATTTACATGCCATGATCTGAGCAGGCCTGATGTGGTTAACACCACCCATCTGGCATTCAATGCAGGGTACAATAAATGCTCATAATTAATTTCAGATACAACTCAACACAAATCAGGTCTGTCTCTGTATCATCTCCCTCAACGCCGACCCTGCTCGCAACTCTCCTATGAGATGCACTCTAGATTTTGGTCATAAATACATGGAAAAACCAAACTGTTAAAAAAAAATATGGATCACTAAAGCTTTTGTCAACGAATGTAATTGGAACATGGAAACAGTTAGATTGGCGAATACTAACAGTGATGTACACAAAAGTAAGAGTAAGTAACAGAACCATTACATATTCCGCAATTGTTTTTAAAAATACAAAAAGACAGCATCTCCGGGTGTGATAACATACCACTGCCAAGACCAACCTTTTTCCCCCCAATTGTTTCCTTTGCCCTTGATTTATTCCAGATCTTTTTTTTCTCAAGCTTAAAAAATTCCCTTATGGATAAATACAACTCTCCAGTGTTTGTAGAGACAAGTTGATAATTTCTAAATATGCCAACTTGAAACTGTATTATGTAGGAAAATAATTTTAGGGCCAGGTATTGGCTTATATTAAATGACTTGGATTAGGATCAGGATATCCTTTGGCTAATACCTTTCAAATTTGTGGCTTGCTTTGGAAAACGTATACACGGTAAACAAACACACTCATGCGCACACACCAGTCTATGGCACACACACATACACACTGTTTTCCTTTTCAGCATTAAGCCGTTCTAAAAGGTTTAAACGATTGAAGGGAAAAGCAAATCTGTTTCTTGCTCTCCCCCTTCAATGAATAGGGAATGGTGACCAAGTTGTAATTGGCAAACGTTAGAGTTCATAATGGTTCTTGTAAATGTTTTGTGAATCACGTCACTCAGAATCCCACCCTTCAAAACAAACTTCTCCCGTTCTGACATCATGCTCCCCGATGAGCAATGAGAACGCAGAACCCTCGCTCCGCCTCCTTGAACTGAACATTTAGAAAGCATATTGCTTTAGCATTCCTATATTGACTCTTGGAACAACAAGTTATAACCACACCAATATTTTTAAAAACAAATACCAGCTTTTATCTAGGACAGACTTTACCACAAACGTGACCAAAATGTTTAAAAAACTTTAGTCAAGAGTGATAATAGCTTCAACCTCAGAATCAGATCAGATAAAGTACTGCAAAGTCAATAAACACAAATGTAGAATAGATATATATACAGTAATAACTAAGTACTTCACTATATCTAAAAAATGTAGTTGTTTTTGGCATGACCACAAGCTTTCCCTAATCAAATAATAGCAGATGCCTCAACCAGACCATTTGTTTGATGTTCTACAACCTAACTATGACTGGGTTGTTGTTGCACACTATCACTACAATACCCGTACGGACAGCAGGTCAGAAAACACATTGTGGATCATTTTAAAACGCACTGACAAATTATTTACTGTGTTGTCAATGGAAAACATTTCCACTGAGGGGGCATTAGTTTAACAATTATATGGACATTTAGTTTTTTTTTGTGGGGGGGGGGGGTTAAATGAAAGAACATGTGATGTTTATTACACATAATTATGATGTGAAGTAATTTTTTTTATAAATCTGCCTGGAACAACATTGATGAGCTTTGACTGAGTTATGAATAAATAAGTGTTGCATCATTCACACTACTGTGACTGACAATGTGTCCCTCTTTCATTCTCAGGAATTTTAACATAAAGAATAACCTTCACAATTTCCTTCACTAGGAAACTTTACAGTGACGGACATTTTGTTCTTGGATTCCCTCAAAGGCGGAAATGCTTTGCAGAATCAAACATTCAACGTTGAGTTGTTCCAAAGTATGGAGCTTGATGAGGATTGTGATGTCTTTAACCCTTCCAGTATGAGCTCGGGCCGAGCCAAGTGTAAAGCGCCCAACAATGCCGTCTGCCACCATAAGAAAGGTACCCATGTTAAAAATGTCAATGAATGTTTATGACTTTTTTTTCTTGATGTCATTTCCTGATTTGCTCCGCTATAGTTTAACCTAAAAGACAGAGAAAATAGAGCATTATTTTAAAGGTCACCCATTATGCAAAATCCACTTTTTCATGTATTTTATACATAAACATGTGTCCCCTGACTCCCCTCTGTGTAAAGAGACTCTGAAAGTTTCAGGAAAAAAGATTTGCTCACTTTCTGTCCTGATCCATTTATATAAAAACATGTCTGAAAATGAGCTGATCAGATTTTGGCCACTTTAAGATGGCATAACGATGTTTTGGTTTGTGTAACCATTAGCCAATAACCAACCAAGGTAACCCCCGCCCACCTTATCACCTGAATCTCCTCCTAGAGCACCATTGTGTTATTTTTAACCAAATATCTCTCAGAGGGACGTGGGGAGTGGCTCCTTATTTTTCATCTAAAGTAACAGACAGAGAATCAGCACTTTTGAAACAGGGCTGAAACAGAGGGGTTTATGGGATGCTACAATGCATGATATGTTTGGTGTTTCAGCCAAACACTTCAGAGACATGTTTTATCTGAGACCTATAATATATTGATGAAAAACAGTATAATAGGGGGCCTTTAACATTACCTTGCAATTAAATAGAATAGTCCTATAAAGTATAACTATAATTAAGAATTTTAAATGATTACTTTTAAATGTTTACATTTGTAAGCATAGCAAAGATCCTTGAATATTTGGAAATGTCTAAGGCTGTTTGTGCTTTGGCTCTAATAGATTGCATTTTTTTTCTTATATTCGTCTATGTTTCTGTCTGCAGAAGTGCTGGCTGTTATCAGTGTACCAAAGACCCAACTATTCAGTAGATTGAACAAAGATCTTCTCATCAAACCTGTGAGTTGGACCCTTTAACAGTTTGGGAAAGAAAATCATCACTTTAGTGGTATAGTAGAATCGATGCAGCTCAAGAACTCAAATACAGAGTACAGTTCTTCTTGCTGTGGTAAAGAGAGAAAAAGGATACCACAACTTTGCCGCCACACAATATCTTTCTATAATTAATAGTTCAATTTAGTCTGTGTAGTGGAGGAAATCATGGTAATATATATATATATATATATATATATATATATATATATATATTATATACATATATAAATATGTGTTTACACTTTTCTATCACTGGATGTTTTCAAGTACTAACTAATTGGGTAATAATCCTGGTGAAAACGGTGTGCTTAGGAAAGGTTAGCCTGATCAAGAGGTGTGTCTATAGGGAATTAGTATTTTGGCCGTACTTAAACTTAGTTTTAGCATTTGTATTAATCCACCTTTTCCTCAGGTGAGTGGTAACAGCTCCTGGGACAGAGACCTGGCCCTGCTGCAGCAGCTTACCCAGGCTGTTCTGCAAGAGGTGGAGGAAGGAGGCTCTCACCTCCTCACCTCCAGTGATGTCCTTTACCTCACCCAGATGATTGAGAAGGACCTGACTGCACTGGCTGGTTCTCACTCTGCTGGATCTGATGCAGCAGAAGTCATGGTGTCCATCGCTACCAACTACCTTAAGGTGGCCAGTTCGATGCTGGAGCCCGGCATGGCTACACAGTGGATGGGCTTCACAGAGGACGGGGTAAGAGGATGGCCTGTGTTGATCTGGTCTGGATAACTCCCCAAACATCTTTGAAGTTGAATTTACATTTTTATAAACTCCCCAAAAAAAAAAAAACAGCTTAAAGGTGGGGTAGGTAAGTTTGAGAAACCGGCTCGAGATACACTTTTTGTTATATTCCATGGAATGCTCTTAACATCCCGATAGCAATGAATATCTTAAGTGCTTTCATCTGTGGAAACCGTGGCGCTGTAAAAAGCACGACCCGGCCCGGCCTGGCTAAAATAACTGGATGGCCTACCTGCCTGTCAGCTTTCCATCTGTGCACAAATTGATCTCGTGCCCTCATTGGTCATTTGCGCGTTCGTGTGTGTTGGAGGAGGGGCTCTGTAAGGATTTGCAGATTTGTTCCGGCTGTGTATTTTCAAATCCTAGCGCACTCGAGCTGGTTTCTCCAAAATTACATACCCCACCTTTAAGTGTAATCTTGTAAGTAGTCAATCCTGCTGGGAAAAAAATATGTTTTTGGGTAGTAACTTTACCAAACTGTCACTTTAAATATCAGCAAAGGCCTCCCACATATGTATATACATATTTGGTCCCATTTTCAGGGATTAAGCACAATATATTTTTTTCAACTTTCTTAACCCTGGAAAGTCATATGTTGTCCTCCATCAATAACAATTTTTGTTGTTGGGTCTGTTTTTCTTGTACAGGTCAGCGTGGGACCATTTACTATTGTGCAGAGCATTGACAGTCTCACTGAAACTCTTGCAAAAAGTCTATCTGCTGAGAAAAGAGGCTTCACTCTTTCTACCAAGAACATAGGTAATCAGAGACATCCCACTACACATCAAAACATATTGATTATCTGTCGGTCGCTTAATTCAAAATACAGGCTATTCTGACTTTTGAAGTTGTGTTCCACTCCTTCATCTCCTTGTATATGCTCTGCTTACACAATTCAGGGAATGGTTTTTGAAACACTGATTGGTCTACCATGTATAATGTTATTGATCCAAACCTGGTAGCTCTTGGCTTTGTATCACAGATGAATAAATTACATTACATTGCAGTTAGCTGACGCTAAATAATAATATGCTTGTATTTATTTTCACGGTTTCTATTCATTCTAATACTAGTAATGTCTATTAATGTGCTGTCTTTGCTCAAAGATGTTTGCCTGACCTGGCAAAAGCTGACTGAAGAGAGCCTTAGTCAAGTCTTCAAGCCATCTGCAGTCGGCTCTCACACAGCTGGCAGCAGTAGTCAGGATGAGTTGCTTATTCCTGACACTGAGCTCCACAGGATACATGCTCTGGGTAGGACACACACACACACACACACACACACACACACACACACACACACACACACACACACACACACACACACACACACACACACACACACACACACACACACACACACATACACATTCACATACACATACACACACACACACCAAAACCCACACACAAAAGGGACTTGTCATAGGGGCTAATCCACATGAAAAGGAAAACATGTGGCCCTGCTCTTATAATAAACGTAATGCAAGTTTTGTTACATAAACAACATGCATATGTGCCCATTTTTCCTACTGCTCCAAATGACACACTGTTGTTCAAAGTGAGAATCTGTTTCCAAATGGTATGTACCATGCCGCTCAACAAATGTGTGCCTGTTCATTCTTTGCTGACTTGACTTATGCTTGGCAATGTTTTTATTGCCATTGTTTTTTTTTTTTAAATGTAAGGTACAGTATCTGCACTATTTGACATATACATTTGTGCAGCACTTTTCAGCTCATTCATCAAATCAAACCAAAACATATATTGCATACACAATTTTAGCATCCATCTTATGGCTAAATAATTGTAGATAATAGCCTGTGTGCTCTATATCCTTCAAGCAATTGTAGATTTACATTTTTAAACACATCTACTAATGTTAATCACAATATCTGTTGAGTCACATTTAAATTGCACTTGATGTCTTTAAATTATTGAAACAAAATAGCAAGTAGGGCATTAGCAGCGCAACCATCCACCAAGGTCATTTCCATAAGTGAAAATATTGCTTGTATCTGCCCAAAGTCTTCTAGCATATGAAACTTTTGGGACTACATAATATTAATAAACCTACAATTATTGACAGAAATGTTGGAAACTGAACTTGGTTAAAATATACTCCTTAATTTAATGTAACTGTGTGTTTGCATTAGGCACCTGTTAGGCATCAATGTGTAAATGTTGTTTTTGAAGTGTTGGTGCAGTATTTGGTTCAATCAAGGGCAAAATAAATCTACTTGTCTTCTCACCTCTCTTTGAATAGGATATGAGGAAGTGATGTTTATTCATACCCACTACCGCCATTTGAGTGAGATTGTGTCTGACACACAGGAGCCATCACAGAGTCACCAGGAGAAAGTAAAAAGGTTAGCCGTATTCTGTTTTATGTTCTTAATTTTACCCATGCCCTTTGCTCTGATGATAGGTTAAAGTTAAACCACGAAACAAAATCAAGACGTTACCTTGTGTTCCGTCGTTTACACTAAATAAGCTATGCTTTTGCTTTGACTCTAATGATAATGAAAGAGTGAGCATAAGTGGATACCAGTAGTTTGTATTGAAGTAATTTAGTCTATTCATTCCCTCTAAGTCGTAAGATAGGTGTAAGTGGTAGCCATTTTCTGTTTTCCCAGAATTCTCCCCGGTCACCTGGCTTCTGTTGTCATATCAGCCACGGTGCGCGATGCCTCCAAAGGCCAAACCATCCCTGTGGCCGTCAATTACACCCTTTCCTCATCACATGTGGTACGGTCCATTGTTCATGGGAGTGTCAAGCAGTATAATTATTAAGCTCACTGTATCAAGCACACATTTTAATAGTTTGAACTGATCTGATTTTGAAAATGATGCGATGTAAATTAAGCTGCATATGAGTTTAAAGAATGCTATATTCTGGATTGAAACTGCAATTCCTGCTTAAGCTCACTTAAACTAAAACTCAACAAATGCAACATGTCACTACACAAGAATGTTCATCTCCCAGCAAGCAGCACATGTTTTTTATCCATGTCACTTTTGGCTGGCTGGAGTCCAAGGTAATATTCAAAGTGAACGAAAACAAGTGCAAACATGTGTTTCTGGTTCTAGGTGGAGTATTCACTGAGAGTTAGTCCCGTTTGTGCCTTTTGGAATTTCAGCTTGATGTAAGTTTGTCCAACATCACAGACGCATAAACAAATGTACTTTTGCAATAGAGACTGAGGCTGATGTTAAGAGGTAATAGTTTATTCATTTCTAGTACATATATACATTTTTTTATGTTGTGCAAATTAATGTTGATCACACCAAACAAATAAATAATCGACATATTACTTTTAATTCTAAAGTGAGATATCCTTGAGATTTGAATACATTTATATTTGTTATCATTTATTTCTTAAATGCTTAGTTTCTACACTCTGGCGAACTAATTGATGAGGTGTGTCTGTGCTTGCGTGTTCCCTGTGTAGGCATAATCAAACCAGTAGCTGGTCCAGTGATGGTTGCATGGTCACCTTTGCTGGCTCCGGGGTTACTTCCTGTCTCTGTAACCACACCACCAACTTTGCAGTGCTGATGAATTACTTGGAGTCCAAGGTAACTCAGGATATGTTTTGTGATGCAGTGTGTTAAATCATACTGAACAACATGTATACCTCAAATGAACAACATTTATACCTCAAATTACACATGTGGTTTATATCCTGTAATATTTGGTTGTTGCATTTTCCCTCATATGGGACACATTGTTATATCTAAATATAAATGTTGCTAATCTGGAATCTAAATCAAAGCTGTCATATTTAAACCCTAAAAATTGTGGATAGGATTTGTAGTACACAATTTAACCAGCAGGTGTCACTCCCAGTGTGCATATCCTTTTGAAAAAAATGCATTGGTCGAACTATGTTGTCTGTCCATGTAGAGCACATAAATGTAGTAAAATGAACAAAAGACAAAACTATTAGCGGTTTAATAAATTGTACATTAACATGGCATTAAGCGGTTATACAAGTTAAGTTGTGAGGTAAGAATTCAGTGTCTTTGAGAATCAAATCAAGTTTTATTTATATAGCATATTTTATAAACGATTTTTGGTCGAGCCAAAGTGCTGTACATATAATAAAAATAACCTACAGTAGAGACACTTTACAGCAAATACAACAGCACAGATTGTTCAGAATATCAGTATGAGAAAAAGGAAAAACATCCAGAGAAAACCCACAGTTTAAGGGGAAAAAAATGGGAGAAACCTCAGGGAGAGCAACAGAGGAGGACAGACGTGCAATAGATGCCGTGTGTAAATCGAAGAGATAATACATTTTACAGCATAGGTAGTCCAAATGTTTGGAAATGCATGTGTCTGTAATAAGAAGATGAATCTACGAAGATGTCAACAATCCTGTGGGAGCCATCAGGGAAGCAGCATGACGAGACCCAGGCAGGACCGCAGAGACAGGTTCAGCCACGACCCGAAGTCCACGACTTAATCCAGAAGTCAGGATAGAGGATCCAGGACACAGGACCACAGCAAGAAGATCAGCCTCGACTCCGGATCCCGGCGTAGATATAGACACAAAACAAGAAAAAATGTGGCTGGGTTAATCGGAACAAGAGAATACACAGACACAGACAGACAGACGGAAGAACAAGCACTCCCTTAGAATAGGTTGAGGGCAAAAGGTACCAAGTAAGAGAGTAAGAAACATAGGTGGAGAGGCACAATCAGGGAACAAGGTCCCCACTGGAGCCTTAGTTGGAAATTGATGAGAGATAGGGAGGTACGCTGTGTCTACGAATCGTAACACTCCCCGGCCTGTCTAAGCCACTCTACAAACCGTTTCCCTCTAATAAAACCTCGAGAGGTTAGAGAGGGAAAAGGTCATAAGATTGATCATACCTGTGATTTTAAAACACCTTCCTCCTCTCTCCCTTTCTCACTACAAAAATCCCCTTTTATCCCAGTGGAGTCCTGAGGAAGAGCTTATTTTGACCAAGCTGACGTTCATCGGCGCGGGTGCATCTCTGTGTGCACTGCTGGTCACCTTGATGCTGTTCACTGTGCTGGAGTGAGTAGCTGATGTTCCTATCCAGCTTACCTGCAATTCCAACTGATATGCTTAGTTTCTATCTGTTTGGACCATACTGCATACAATTCACCCTCTGAGCCCTTTTTTGTGATGCTAAATACATTCTCTTGATTTAAAGCAAGAGTTCAATACAACCAATGCATAATACTGTTTTTAATACAATAGGTCCACTGTATATTTAGTATTTCATTCTGACTGTCTAGGCTCTGAAAGAAAATGACTTAGCTTGTTCAAAGGTTAATCTTCCATGAAAAGGAGCTCTTAAAATCAATTAAACTATTATAAGTAAAAATGGCAATGTGGCAATCAACTTCCAGGCATCCTTATGTAGAATCTGAACCATTAGAAACAACTAGTACAAGGACTTTCAAATGTCATCAGATAATTTGGCTCTCAGGTTTATCCACCTATTTAATTGCATCAATAACATTTTAAACGAATATAAATAAATTATTGCTGCCTGCCATGTTGTAAATACACACTTCTCTGTTTGTATGGATTTATAGACAAAGCACTTGTTAGGTTTATAATTTAATTTAATTTAATTTATGTATAATAAATTAATACGTCTTGTGGATCTCCTCCTGGGCTTTGATGTGACACTCTTGTCCACACACTTAAAAGACAGAGATAACGTATTGCCATTGTACTGCTCATGCGCTGTTCCTCAGGCTGCTATGAGTATTGACTAGTGCTAATCCAGTAATTACTGAGGTCTACATGTGAGTCCACTCTGAAGGTTTATGGCCGCATTTTGCAGCCGTTAATTAACATTAGGGTCACCGAGGGATCACAATCAGCTGGAGAGGAGCTGCCCTGACAATTTATGACTGGCCTGAAGTCTGAGAGTGCAGCCATGCCTTTCACACACGTGCTGGTGTATGATGTACATTTGCGTACTTAATACACCATCAACACACTCCCACACAAACAGACAAAGTAGAGGTACCCATGTCCATAGATGGATGTGTAATCACACCATGAAATTATGGTGGTCGCAATCAGTGATGCAGATATGAATTAGGGCTAAATAGGCTGAACCCATCAGGAGGTAATGAGAGGGCTCATTAGAGGGTTCATTTATCTCTCTTAACTACATTCAGCTATCCATTTCATTTATGTTGCCTGAAAAGGAAATATTTAACCTAGTAATGCCATCTACAGAAAATATGTCTTCATATAAGATGGTGCGATGTACACCTTTTTGTTTCAGAACAAGCAGAATCCAAATACCAGTCAGATAAAACGATTTGCAATATGCTGAGCATTGCGATAGGATAATAAAAAAATGTGTTGCTGCTTTTTTTCAACTGAAAGTTATGCATATTGTCAACATGTATCTTATCTTATGCCCTGAAGTTCTCTGCTGATTTCTACATTGTATAACAATATCCTTTTTTTTTTTACCAACTTTCTGACAATCCTGCAATCACAAAAAACCCTCTACAATTAAGTGTAATGAAAAAGCAATTGTTACCTTAAAAGTGTATATTATACAAAGCATTATTTTTTATTTATATGATAAAAGGTCAACACTTGGTGTTTCATATATAAACAATAGTGCCACTCAAAATATTGTGATATAATATTTTACCAAAACTATCTACTATTCCTCTAAAATGTACCCTTTTTTTCATTTCATCCCTAGTATCCCCAAATCTGACAGGACGTCCATCCATAAGAACCTGTTCATTGCTCTGATCTGCGCCCAGGTCATCCTGCTCTGCAGCGGCTCTGCCATCCACAACAAGGTACAGGCACCTGATTTACTCTTTTATATCGTAGTAGTATTAAGGTGAAGTCCTAAGGTGAAAGTCGTAGCTACCTATTGTGTTTAGATACAAGGAAACACATTTCTGATTTCCGGTTATTAGAACGATTTTTCACCTAGTCAACTACTTAATAATTAAAAACATTTTAAAATTCCATGGCAATTATAGTACAAGCCTTTTGTAAGAAATGACTTTTAAACTTTTCTCTACCGTCTCTACAGTCTATTTCAACCCACAGCCCTGTTTTTTAATAGGTAGCTTCCTTAATGAGACTTGAAATCTAAATCCATACTGGGATCCTAGTAAAACAAATGCTTTGGCATTGGTTGTTACACAAGTAGTCACTAATGTGGTATCCATCAGCTAGAACACATGGTTCAGTCTCTCAGTAGTCGCCTGTAGTTGGTTTGACCCCTGCTCCTTTGACTCCAGGTCATGTCAGGGTGGGCTTTACCCCTAGGGGCAGCTGTCTGCTTGTTGGAAATTCATCAAGTGGTTTCATTATATATATATAGGATTAATGACCATCAGGAAGGTAATTTGTCAGATTTTAACAAGGTTTTGAACACATGGTTTCCAATCCAGAGCTTTTCACAATGAACAATTCTCGAGGGCTTCGATGTTTTGCTAAAGACAGTACAATATATTGTTGTTTCATGACATAGTTGCCTGGAGCGAATCTTCTAAATCTTATCTTATCTTATAAATCATATATTTTATGGATCGTATGGTATTCCTAATTGTTCAACCAACTCTAATTGTTCTATCCACTTTTGCCCCTCGTTTTAATATTTTCTGAGGATAATATTTTATAACATTCTTTAGTTCATCAACACTGTAAAATATTTGAGTATGGCAAATGGTGTAAATTATATAATAGTGAAGCCCTGTCACCTCATTCATCATCTACGGCAGTGAGTTGCCCATTTAACCTCTGACCATCTTAACCTCTGTTTGTATGCATTTGTTTCAAGAACAAGTGGAAAACGTAAAGGCTCCACATCCATTCTTCTGTAATTATTGTATTTCAAATGAGTAATTGGCAACAGCATTTATTAATTTTTTGTCTGGAGGTGTTAGAAGTTCAGTTCATTAGGACTTGTCCTGAGAACAGGAGGTTGGATTGCATTTTCAAAGTGAGAATAATTTCTATACAAAATTACGCTTGCAAATAAGAGTACAAAATGAATGTGCAATAAACCAAAATGGACACTAGTCTAATTATGTTTGTCAGATGGAATTTGCCAATTCATATTTTATTCTTTTTTTTACTGTTTCAGCTGAGATCCTAATCTGAATACTTGAATTTGTATCTGTCTACATGCTGTTTTGTAGGTGGCATGTACACTTGTAGCAGCACTGCTCCATCTCTTCTTCATGGCAGCCTTTAGCTGGATGCTGGTGGAGGGACTGCTGCTCTGGAGCAAGGTGGTCGCGGTCAACCTAAGCGAGGAGCGACACATGAAGTATTACTATCTCATCGGCTGGGGTACAGAGACTTCACAGAGCCAAATCACTCTCTTCCCTCCTGCAGTGAATGTCTATGACTGTCAAGGATATTGTAAAGTTATGAACGTAAAACCATTTAGATTGCCCCTTTTTTAACATTTTGTTCTGATTGACATGACACTGATGATAAACATTGATTACATATACCATATGTGTAGGAAATATATAGCACTTTTCTTAAACCATAATATGTGTTTGCCTCACGTTTGGGACTAATTGCATCACAATGGTAATTTCCCTTGTATTCCCCTCCCTCCTTTCAGGTCTGCCGGTGCTGATAGTCACCATCACGCTTGCATCAGCCTCAGGCAAATACTCAGCCGACGGCTACTGTTGGCTCAGTGTCCAGAATGGCGTTATATGGGGCTTTGCTGGACCTGTCATCTTCATCATCATGGTCAGAGTTCAATCCTAATCACAGCATGTAGTCTCTAAAATAGTAAAACAAATACAAGGCACATATAGCCATTGTGTACTTTCCTGTAGTGCTCAACATTAGGTTTGACAATGTAACCTGATGTACCAATAAACTACGACACAATGTTTTGATTTTTAGAAACCGCAGTCTTTTAGTATATGCGTCTCTTTTTGTTTCCTCTCCTACAATCTCAAACCCCTAAGGATGTCAATATGCATTTCTCACTTCCATATTTTTTTACTTGTTTCTTCTAATTTCTTTGTAACGTTGCCATCTCTTATTTCTAAATCCTTTTCTCAGGTGAATATCTTGGTGCTGACCCGGGTGGTGGTCATCACCATCTCCACAGCCAAGAGAAGGTCCATCATGTTGGCCATGGGCACCAGTCCTGTGGAACAAGCCTATGAGCAAATCAGGTATAAACCACAAGGAGGCGCAATTTGTCCTCTTGTTTTGTTTTTTTTAAAGATTATTCACCCAACCACAGGCCTTGGAGCAGACAAGCTTTAGTCAATGGGCATCAAATAAAAAGCAGCTGGAAGATTTTATATTGGATTTGTCATTTTAAAAAAGGGAGTCTCATTTATCAAACTATATAGGGAATACATTTTGAATGGATTGCATTACTGTTCATGTAAAAAGGCTTCAATCTTCGACCACTTTAAATGTTTTGAATATATCCAGTCTTTGTGTTCTGGTATCTTTCAGTGGTGACAGGATACACACATATTCCAATATTAGTTTCTCATACTTTTGTGTTTTTTTTTAATTTATTAGCAGAATATTTGGACTTATAATTGTATTAAGGGCAATTTTGTTTCCACATTTCTGAAACCTCACATGAAAACATTTGATTAATTGGAGATTCTTATTATTATACATAATTATTTGTAAGGATAAGAGCAGTTGGCATTGTTGTGATTTGAATCAAATTACTATGAAGATGGATTTGAGGGAGATCCTCTGAGTTAAAATGCATACAAAAAATAAAATGTGATTTCTCAGCAGCTGACAATAGCAGCGTTTTAACTGTCCGGCAAGAAAACCAAACTGATTAAAATTAAATGTACCTATATTTTTATAAAATTGCAAGGGATATTTTGTTATACTAACAAGGTGGGATGCACCTTTATATTACTTTATTTTGTAATCATGTACTACTTGTAGCTGGAAAGTTATAATAATAATGAAAATAAATAAAATTATGGTTCTGTGTTTGCAATATTTTATAAAAGCCATATTAAAAAAAAGGATACATTCATGTAAAACTCTGCGGGTGATCCAGTAGATGTTCCCCAGCAGGCTTACATATGATCCTATCAGTGAAAATCATGTTAAAGTGTTTGTGTTTTTTCACTACCTCAGCACACTCACTCACAGAAGGTGCTTTATGAAAGTTCTCAAAGCAGGCCTTGAACCATTTGGCACCCCTGGGTGGCAGCCGTTTTGGAAACTCAAACACATTCCTCCGCTGAATAAACTAGGACTTGCCGCCCGCCATGTCACACACACACACACACGAACACACACACAGCTGGTGCGGTTTGGCAGGCACCTGAGCGGGAAGATAATTCCACTCTAAACAGAATTAAAGCGGATTTAAGGTGGGAAGTTGTCACCCCATGAGCCTTTCCAGCCGCTCAGCGTTGTATATGGAACAAGCAGCCTGCCAAAGCTGCCATTTTTGCACAAGAAACCCAGAAATGTTGCTTGGGGCAACCAGGGAGGAAGTACCATTTTTATGAAATAACTCGGAATATTTATGAAAATGTATTGTTTCTGGTGTGGTTATGTTAATCTCCATCAGCTGATCAAAGAGTTTAGAGTTGAAATTGTGTGTGCTTGATAATAATTCTATGCCTGCATGTGTGTGTTTGTGTGTGTGTGTTTGTGTGTGTGAACACAGGGCTGCAGTGAAAGCCATATTGGTGTTGCTGCCTATCCTCGGATTGACATGGCTGTGTGGTGTCTTGGTGCCTTTCTCCATTGTTATGGCCTACATCTTCATCCTTCTAAACTCCCTGCAGGTACACACACACACACACACACACACACACACACACCACACACACCACACACACACACACACACACACACACACACACACACACACACACACACACACACACACACACACACACACACACACACACACACACACACACACACACACACACCAAATGAAGGCAAAAAAAGGTGACTACAAAGAAATGCATGCACCAGTATACATTTTGTTACAAAAATAATTAGGCATATCATCTGTTGTGTTGGGTTGCCTCCACACTCATAGGATTGAATCATTTTGGTTGATTTATTTCAATGCAAGGACTGACTGTAAATCAAACAAGAAAATGAGGAGCAAAGAGACACATTGTGTTTACAAATGTCAATAGAATTCTGATCGCTATTTAACAGTAAATTAAGACAGGTTTTAGAAATACCTGAATCTATCCATCTGTCTCTCTCAGATGTAGAACTGATGGCAGAAGAAATACAATTGAGTTTGTTGCCATCTAAATATGATTGGAAACAGCCATACGTCTTTTTTAATAATAGAAAAATGTAAGACTAAATAATGCAGCAACTAAAACTCATGAGCAACTTCAAATAAACTTGATCAGTTTATAGACATTAAAATGTTTTGTTTTTCTTCAATGAGAAACAGAAAGGTTTTCCATTATATATTGTAATTCCTTCCTTTCTCGTGGTGAGGCTACACAGACTGTCAAGGTTTTTATTTGTCAGTGACAAGGTTGAGGCAGAAAGGAGAAAAAGGAGCCTTGGTCTGGCTTGTGTTAAGCAGGTGTTTTATTTTAACAAGGAAAATTGATTTGTATTGCTTGTTTGACAATTTTTCCTTTTATATATTCAGAGGTCAGCATATTTGTTGTTATTTATTGCTTATCGGCATTGTTTTTCTGCTTTTAGTGCTTTAATTTTGTGGGTCGGTCTGTCACACATTTTGAGAAAGGAATACTTTTTTTAAGCCCTGCATAAATATACATATCAAAATGTTTCCACGTGTAGTATACCTGTGAGCATCACATCTCCATTCAAAAATGGCCCCAACGAGAAATATCGGTTTTCACATGGAAACCCACCTTTGTTGCCTATCTTCCCACTGCACTGCAGTGATGGAGGAGAAGTAGAGGATAAACATAATTCTCTGACTGGGGCATGGAGCCCCACGTTACCCAGCTTCCCCAGCATGTTCAGATCCCCCGCTGCAATTTGTAGTTGTTTTTTAATCAGCTGTATCTTTAATTGAGCTGTATATTTAACTAGAAAATCAATAGAGGTTTTAGCTGCAGTCTGATCATTAAGGAAGGCCCCTCGGTTGCCATAAATAGTTTCTGTTTCCTTCTCATGTCTAATTATTTTTTTCCATGTCGACAGTAATTAATACTGAAGGGTTTTCTCAGCTTTTATTATGACTTCACTGCTTCACATGTTAACACAAATTATGGATTTTGATTCCTGCACAAGCTTGTGTTCATTCAGCCTTCCACCCGTCTGTCAGCATTTATTCTGTTTGTATATACGCCTACCTCTCTTGGTCATTCCATGTCTATCTTTTTGACTTTGGCATTTTAATTGTAACAGTGAAAAAGAGCCATGTTCATTTATCATTATCTTCCCTCACGAAGCATTCTGTTACTCACAACACGTGTCATAATTCCTACATATTTCAAATTAAATTATGCTATTTATATTTTTACAAAGTAAGAAAGACGGTGAAGGTGCTTGCAACTTTGGCCTCGTTTTAAGTCCTCAAATATCTCTATTGCAGCACTACATTAACAAACCGATCCTAAGAGAATACCAACAGTGCTTAATGCTACCTCCTTTGAATGTTGTTGCATTTATGAACTTCTTTCATATGGTCAGGGCGATAACATGACCATTCATTCTCAAAAACATAAAATAACCGATATAATTTGGCTTTTGTGTGTGTTGACTGGGTTTCTGGGTAGCTGCAGGAGGCCTATGGTTATACCCGGCTCCTCTGACACAACCAAGTCACAAAGCGTCTTTGATAAGCCGCAACAGGTCAGGACACAACAGACACCCCACCGGGCACCAAGCTGTTCCAGCGACACACTCTGTTGACCCCACTGCTCTCTGCTCGGCATGGGGTGTAGGGACACTTGTAAGGGCAATCCTCAAAATCCTCTGCAGCTCTAAATGTATCCATCCATCTTGAACTGGAGTACTTACTGCTGTGCTTTGGCTGTTTCTGTTCACTAATTGAAATATTGTGGGCTTATTCTCCTTGGATTTGATGGCTTTTGATTTCAACTTTTTATTTGTTGATTAATTAATCTTCTCATATAGTTTGCAGGCCCCTGCATTTAGTTAAATCTATTGTCAGACTTTGTGATATCAGCAAATATCGTACTGTTTTCCAATCAATACATTTAATATTGTATCTGGATGAAACTTGTGATTTAGAGTGAAATATCTTGTTTGGATTGCACAGGAATTCATGCAGGTCAAACTATTTTATTCAGTATAATATCTCTAAATCCACAGTGAAATGTCTGAACTACTGGGATATATTGATGTGATTTTTCTATACAGAGACCATGGCCTCTCTTAGGAATCCTGCATATCCTTGATACTAAACTTGGTGATCTATATATATACTAACATTATGATTTGAATCATAAAAGCAAGTGCTGTTAAAGATCCAGTACATTAATTAGAACTTACAACAGAAGACGGTGTGCAATGCCGCTGATCCCTTTGGGAGGGAGAACACAGTTAAACATGGTGGCTCCATAATGCCTACTCATAAAGATGATGAAATGTGTAACAGCCTTAACAACAATACATGCTAAACCTGAACTGGGAGGCAGGAGATACAAATAAAAAAATAAATAAAAAAATGCTCACGTTTTTTTAGGAAATCGTTTTTTATTTGCAGCTGTTGTATTTTCAATGGTGGCAGGCAAAGCAACATAAAGCTTAAGCGGCAAGCCTTTACTGTTAAATCAATAAAACAGATAATGTTGACAAGCCTTTTTCATTGCACTCCCTAAAGCCCTCCCTACTCCTCTTTCCCCTTTATCCTGACAACACTGTCTGAAGTGCTTTTGCTGTTGGCGTTATTTTTCTCAATAGAGACCATGCCTTTGGAGCGAACATACTGCGGACCTAACACCCCTGCATGTCTTCTGTACTCTTCTCAGCACCCAAGGCTTTTGATTCATTAACTGGCGCCAATTATGCTCAGTTTGAGTGAGGTAGCATCCTCCACATACATGTATCTAAAACACTATCAGCACTTCATCACTCATGCACAGAAGTTGTTTATGTTGATTTGTGGCATTGACACAGCCTGAAATCGCACACATCATGTTTTATTTTTCCCTAACTACTCTGACAGTTATTGGGACGCATTTGATTTCTTTTTGTAGTTATTATATCGCGCATCTTTGAAATGAGCGGGTTTCAAATGACCTATGTTAGGAACATTTTTAATGTCTAGCTTAAAGGGGACCTATCATGCAAAATGCATTTTTGTACGTCTTTTATACATGAATATGTGTCCCTGTGTCAGGGAACTCACCAAGTGTCAGAAAACACAACCCTCTCTCTTTTCCTCCATACGCAAATCTCTAAAAACGGGGCTGCAACGGATCTGATACAGACTGATACAGATTTGAAATTGTTCTGACGTCAGAAACGGGGTGCTCCGCCTATATGGACAACTCTCCACCTATCAGGGGAATGAGAGGTTGCCGTGGCATGGTAACAACATGGTAACATGACGCTCGTGCCTCGCCCCCCTCCTTTTCAGGGGGCGTGGTCAGCTGTAGCTCATTTGCCACAGAATCAGCCCTTGCAAAAACAGGGCTGGAATACAGCAAATAGAGTGAAATGAGGCATGACTAAAATGCATGATCGGTTTGGTATTTTGAAAAATAAACTTCACAAGTTTTATATAGGTATGGCCCTACAATATCTTATTCAAGTATAGCATGATAGGTCCACTTTAAATTAAACATAGATCATCAAAAACACAACTGTAATAATGTATTTAAGTTTGACAGCATTTGGGGGGATAAAGAGTTTTAAGTTGATATGCTCAGTAGATTCTAACTTCCTGAGCTAGTAGTTTTTTATGAACATCTTGACCATAAATACAGGCATGCCTCATCTGCTTCCCTATCAAGCTAGAGATAAATAGCATGGTGTGTGTGTGTGTGTGTGTGTGTGTGTGTGTGTGTGTGTGTGTGTGTGTGTGTGTGTGTGTGTGTGTGTGTGTGTGTGTGTGTGTGTGTGTGTGTGTGTGTGTGTGTGTGTGTGTGTGTGTGTGTGTGTGTGTGTGTGTGTGTGTGTGTGTGTGTGTGTGTGTGTGTGTGTGTGTGTGTGTGTGTGTGTGTGTGTGAGAGAGAGAGAGAGAAGAGGGACGGGGGTCTCTTTTGGTAGCCCATAAATCGCTCCACCCTTTGTCATCCAATCTCTGGGCAATGTCATTCAAACCCCGCACTATCCATTACCTGGGTATAATAGGCTCCTGGCCATGCAGTGTCCATCTTATTATTAGGCCATAACTTTAAACTATCAATAACTTTGAGCTGCAGAGGGAGGAGGGGGAGACACATGAGGAGAGGGAGAAAACAAAGTAGAGAGGTGAGGGAAGTTCGGGAGTCGTAGAGAACGTGTTCGGGTAACTATCATCGTCCGCAAGTTGTTAAGAGTGCAGTTTGTTTGGTAACTTTGCAGGCAAGTTATTTGTCAAGAATGTGTCCGTTTCTGTTTCTGTTATGTCAGTTTGCCGCCTGAGGAGGGCAACCCTGTGCCTTGTCATCACAGTGTGGAAATATAGAGAAATCAATAAGAGAATTTATCCCAGCCGTTTCATTCACATCACATTAAGGGATTGTATTTGCCAGCAACTGATGACAACATTGTTTTCCTATTTCTTATGAAATGAACAGACTGGCGAGCGGTAATGAGATTTCAGAGTCAATCAGTAAAGCTTTAGAATTTAGATTTATCGTTTTGCTCAGGGTTAAAT